ACAAAATATTTTAACCATGCACACGTTTGAAAATTAAATATGATTACACATTGTGCTTTCATCGCATTCATATCTTTAATTTATAATTTTGTGTAGATTATAAAATATAATACAATAAGTATAAGAAATATTTTTAATACATCTATATTTATTGCATTTCTTGAATTTTAATAATCTTTTATAATGTTTTAGTGAGTGATACTTGTGCTAGTGGTGAGAAAATAGATGAAAGTGGACCTGAATTAAAAGCATTTATCAGCAATGCAGAAAATATACTTGAAGGAGATGTTTCTTGCACTGCTATTGTAGAGGATGATGAAACATCAATAATGAAATATTTAATCCAATGGAGTGATGAAAATAAAGCTGATGTTATTCTCACCTCTGGCGGCACTGGATTTTCCGAGAGAGATGTTACACCTGAGGCAACTAAAAAAGTTATTCATAAAGAAACTCCTGGACTGTCTTTAAAGATGCTCATGTCGAGCCTAAAAATAACTCCAATGGCGGTACTTTCTCGGTAAAGTCATTTCTTTCTTCTATTCTGCAATCTCTTTAAAGTTACAACTTTTAATATGTTTTCAGAGCTGTGTGCGGAATACGACATAAAACACTGATTGTTAATTTACCCGGTTCACGCAAGGCTGCAATAGAGTGCTTGACTGCAATCGCACCTGCAATTCCACATGCCATAGATTTAATTTTGGATAATAAAGCAAAAATTAAAGATACACATAACATTGTGCAACATAATATTGCTGCTTGTTCGCATCATGCTTCTTGTACAAATCCAGTGAGATTTTTTTTATTAAAAATGATGTTACACAAAATGTATAATACAATTAGATTATATATTCTAGATGAGTTTCGAGAATGTGGCAACACGTCTCAGAGAATCCTCATTTCCTATGATATCTGTGGCGGAAGCACTGCGCATAATACGTTTTGAGAGTACAAAGGATGTAGAGGTGGAAATCGTAAATCTGAAAGATGCTTACGGTAGAATATTATCAGGAGAGAGCATACGTTCCAATTGTGATTTGCCACCATTCAGAGCTTCAATAAAGGATGGATATGCAGTATTAGCAAATGATGGAAAAGGCAGAAGGACGGTATTGTGTGGTGTGAAAGCAGGAACTGCAGTAAGTCGCAACATCAGACGCTCAACATGATGCAAGAGAGAGTAATTCAAGAAAATTTTTTCAGCCCACTTTGGTGTCTCTTAAATCTGGCACTTGTGTACGAGTGAATACTGGAGCACCCATTCCTGATGGTAAATAATTGTAACTGCAATTTACTTACGATAAAGAATTTACATTTTCTGTCTAATTGCAGAAGCAACAGCGGTTGTACAAGTTGAGGATACAAAGCTAGTGTCAAAGAGTTCTGATGGAACAGAGGAAGAAGAAATTGAGATAATGATTGAGCCGAAAGAAGGACAAGATATTAGGTACGAGGCTTAAAGATGTATCATCTATACGATCCTTGTAAAAGGTTTTTGGAAATTAGAAATGCATTATATATATATAATATTTATATTTTCCAAAAAATAAAAATAAATACTAAAACTGTATATGTATATCAAATAGTTGTGTGCATAACATCATATTTATTTATTTAACAATACATTTTTATAGTTTATTTATTGCATTTATTTTTTTCTTTATTGTTATAATACTTCTTTAGAAAATTATGATAATTTCGATTTCTTTACATAATCACATAATTTCTTTAAATAATCAAGATTATTTGTGCAGTTTTATTGTGATTTACAGATTTGTTGTTCAGTAAATAAAAAGAGTTTAATAGAGTAAATTTTATTTATTTACAGAACAATGACTTATGACTAATTTGTGAATTGCAATGAAATTTTACATAAATAATCTTGATTATTTAAAATACCTATATATAATAAAATTGAAATTATCATTATTTTTTAAGTTAAAATATACAACAATAACGAAGAATAATAAATGCAGTAAATAAACGATAAAAGTAAGTTGTTAAATAAATAATAATGTTGTTTAAATAACTATTTCACATATACATAATTTTAATATTTAGTTTTATATGAAAAGTATAAATATTAATACATTTCTAATTGCAAGTTTTTGCAGAGACTATTCTAATTGCAGGGACTATGTTAGATGGTACATCTTTAAGGTTCCTATAAGTTTTGCCAAAAGTTTTAATTTATTCTTAATTATAGAAATTTATTTGATTATTTATTTATGTTATTGAAAGACCTATTGGCTGTGATATAAAAAAGGGAAGCTTAGTGTTAAACCCGTTCACAAGAATTGGGCCGGTGGAAATAGGACTATTAGCGGCCTGCGGCTACAAACGCGTTGCAGTTACTTTACTTCCACGTATAGGTATATTGTCTACTGGAGATGAGTTACAGCAACCTGGAGAACCTTTAAGACCAGGGCAGGTCTATGATAGCAACAGAATAAGTTTAATCTCGTTATTAAAAGAAAATGGTTTTGATTCTTTGGATTTCGGAATTGTGACTGATAAGTATGTCAACGTTTATTATTTCTAGTATAATCATTCGCATTTATATATTTCACTTTTACATAAATGCGCTCATTTATTTTTGAAATTCTATAGTATATGTAACGTGAATATATATATATATTCACGTTACGTGTGTATTACGTGTGTACATATACACACACACACACACACACACACACACACACACACACACACACACACACACACACACACACACACA